ATACCACTGTTTGTACAATGAGACATAGAACCCTCCTGTTGCTCCTGTTGCTGCTGCTGCTGCTGCTCTTCCCCCGGAGCTGCTACTGCTGCTCCTGCTGCTGGTGCTGCTGGAGCAGGTGCTGCAAGCCTCCAAAACACACCCTTCGCCACACCGAAACACCATGCTACTGAAGGCTGGAACGACCTCCAAAAACATGCTGCCCCGGGGCTTGACCACCTGCTGCTGCTGCTGCTGCTGGCTGCTGCTGCTGCTCCCGCTGCTGCTGCTGCTGGTGGTGTGCTGCCCCGAAGAACAACATTTTTGCAGCTACTGCTGTTGGTGGTGGTGCAGGCGTCCGCTGCGCTGCTGTTGCAGCTATTCTTGCGGTTCCCGCTACTGTACTGCAGCTGCTGCTGCTGCTGTGGCGTCTGCTGATGCTACTGCTGCTGCTGCTGCTGCTGCGGCTGCTGCTGCTGCTGCTGCTCCTGCTGCTGGTGCGGCTAAACTTGCTTGTCTTTGCTTTACTTCTCCTGCTGCTGCTGCTGCGCCTGCTGCGGTAGTAGTCCGAAACAAGAATCAAAAGTATTATTCCCTGGCGCGCTCCCCCTTGCGTCTGCCGGGGTCGGCGGATATCTTTTAATGATGTAATATAATCGATATAATCGCATCATTGGCTGTATTCCATTGATCGTATTCTGCAATTCTCATGCAAAACTGAAGTATCGAGGGCTTTCGAACCACAGATCTCAGCAGAGGTTGAAACAACTGCCAGCAACAACGCTGATTGCAGAGTGACTGTCTTGCACGTCCCCAGGATGAAATTCCCAAACCACATGACGATGAGGGAAATCCACATCATTCGCCCCTTGGCTTTGCAATTATTTGGTAACAGAGTGGCAAACGAACATGATTCAATGTAAGGTTTAAAACTTACAACCAGCAGGTACAATTAATGGAAAATAAATGAAAATAATGGATATCAATGGCTTGATTGATATGGGGTACATAGCCAACATCGTAAACATTATAAACCCAACACTAAACCATCTGAAACTTTATAAATGGTGAAAATGGGTAGTAAAAACATGTAAAAACCATCGCTATCACCTTGTGACATCTCTGAGGCACCCACGAAGAAATCACGGAAGCGAGATTGAAAGAACAGGCACTGATTGATGCTGAGAATGGAGAAATCAAAGAGCTGTTGACGAGAGCTCGAGCTGAAGCCTTTGAAGCAAAGAAACTTAGCTCCCCTCGGAGTATGAAATCTCATAATTACTATGCCAGGGATAAATTGGCCATGAAAGGCGACTGGCACGCCTGGTTAAGGCAACATTCACGTGGATAGATTGGATGGGTGTGGGTACAAAACCAAGACTACAGTGCTGTTCACATTGAGATAGCTGGCAAATCCGCATATCTTTCATCTTCTCAGATATGTAGCATGGGTGGCATGACCTATCCTCACTTGAACTGTTGTCCTTTTTCAAATGAGACCTTCTAGTACTGCCACCGCGTGGCAAGAGTTGGTTTGGCTGCTGAGATTGGGCAAAGATTCCCCACTTTCAGGTCTCACACTGAGGGTTAGAGCTGCTAAAATGCGGCTTGACCAAGTCAACCAAGGATGAAAAGAGTCGCCTGAAGTTGTTTTTCGGGTGTAGACTGCTCGACGTGGCCGAGCGTTTGTGGTTAAGATTCGCCAATCCGAAGCCCCTGGATTTTGGTTGCTGGATTGCAGGAGTGTCTGTCGACTTTTTCTACTTGGTTGGTAAAGCAATTGAGGAGCTCGTGAGCTCGTCATGGGAGTCTCTCTGGGCTGGTGTTGATTTTGTGTGGGGTATCTTTATTATTGTTGTTATCATTCTTACAATTCTTTTTTTTTAAATTGACACCTTGAACTTCAATATTCATACTTTGTTAAACATCTTGCGGACAATGATGTTTGAATGAATATCACAGAAAATCCTGAAGGTGGGAGATTGGAAAAGGGGCCTGGCCCAACCCATGAGTTCCACTATATACATGAAGAGACTACTTGGAAGTGCAGTTCCAGGTATAAGTGAATATAACATAATATATAAATATTATTAAATATAATATTTATATATAATATCCATACTTATGTTTATATTCATATATAAATATTCATGGTGATAGTTTTAGGGGTTTATCCCAACTTATGGGGGTTTAGTTCAGCATGGTTGTCACCTCAACTGCACCCCCCAGTATGACATGGTGGATTTTGCGGGATGTGAAAGTGCAGATACTATTCAGATGAAAGGACCAACACCTACAATTATCTACAATCATCGTCTATGCGTGTTACACACACAATAGCCAGTAATTATCCAATAATGTGTGTGTATCAGTGGGTAGACATATCCATTTGACCCAAGACCAAGACCAAGACCGTGTATTTTGTGTGGGTGTATCTACGCATGGTATATATCTCCACATTTTCGCGTTCCAACATAGGGAATATGTATGAGGATGATGAGCCACTTTTTTCTCCACAATTTTCAATCAAGTCCATACTGATTATACATCGCATGATATCCGCATTACATCCCCAGTATATCCCAATTATATACCGACCCATGATTCTTGACTTAAAACCTCTAAATCTGTTGGTTAGTTTCCCCATCATATCCCTATCATATCCCCTCAAAATGGTTGGCTTCCCATAATATACCATTTACATATTATCCCGTTGCCTCACACAATATCCATAATATAATATATATATATATATCGCATAATACCACCTCTTTATATTCCAATATATCCCTACTTATGTATATACGTATACACACATGCACATAGACATCCACATACACATACACACACATACATACAGTACAGTACAGTACAGTAGAGTAGAGTAGAGTAGAGTAGAGTAGAGTAGAGTACAGTACATATAAATACATATACATACATATACATACATATACATACATATGCATACACATGTACATACACAGATACATATGCATACACACAACATTTATATACATGCATGCATGCATGCATGCATGCATACACATACACATACATCATACATCATAAACATGCATCATACACATACATCATACACATACACACATACATACACATAGACATGCATCATACACATACATATAGACATACACATTAGACCTACATAGACATACATGCACATACATGCACATACATGCACATACATGCACATACATGCACATACATGCACATACATGCACATACATGCACATACATGCACATACATGCACATACATGCACATACATGCACATACATGCACATACATGCACATACATGCAAATACATGCACATACATGCACATACATGCAAATACATGCACATACATGCACATACATGCACATACATGCACATACATGCACATACATGCACATACATGCACATACATGCACATACATGCACATACATGCACATACATGCACATACATGCAAATACATGCACATACATGCACATACATGCACATACATGCACATACATGCACATACATGCACATACATGCACATACATGCACATACATGCACATACATGCACATACATGCACATACATGCACATACATGCACATACATGCACATACATGCACATACATGCACATACATACACATACATGCACATACATGCACATACATGCACATACATGCACATACATGCACATACATGCAAATACATGCACATACATGCACATACATGCAAATACATGCACATACATGCACATACATGCACATACATGCACATACATGCACATACATGCACATACATGCACATACATGCACATACATGCACATACATGCACATACATGCACATACATGCAAATACATGCATACATACATGCACATACATGCACATACATGGAACAATACCTGCACATACCATGGACATACACTGCCCTAATCATGCACATACAGTCTCATACAGCTCATGCATGCACATACAGCTCATACATGCTCATACATGCTCATACATGCTCATAATTGCTCATACATGCTCATACATGCTCATCCTGCTCAATACATGCCATACATGCTGATACATGCTCATACATACCATCCATTCATACATGCTCATACATTACATACATACATACAATACATGGCATGCATGCATGCGTGCATACTTCAATACATGGCAATCTGCCATACACAGGCTACATGCAAATACATGCACATACATGCACATACATGCACATACATGCACATACATGCACATACATGCACATACATGCACATACATGCACGTACATGCACATACATGCACATACATGCACATACATGCACATACATGCACATACATGCACATACATGCACATACATGCACATACATGCAAATACATGCACATACATGCACATACATGCACATACATGCACATACATGCACATACATGCACATACATGCACATACATGCACGTACATGCACGTACATGCACATACATGCACATACATGCACATACATGCACATACATGCACATACATGCACATACATGCACATACATGCACATACATGCACATACATGCACATACATGCACATACATGCACATACATGCACATACATGCACATACATGCATGCATGCATGCATGCATGCACATGCACACATGCACACATGCACACATGGACACATGCACACATGCACACACACGCACACACACACACACGCACACATGCACACACTCATATATGCACACATGCACACACGCACACATCCATCCATACATACATGCATTATAGTATACCTAAATATACATATGTACATACATGTACGTATACGCACATACGCATGTATATATATATATGGGGTACTTGCATATTTACACACACATATGTATATATATATACATACACATCTGTATTTATATGTGTACATGTACATATGTATATCAAAAAATATATGTATGTACACAATACATAGGTTGCATTGCATTGCATCGCCAGTTGAACATTGCATTATTTTATTCTGATTTTCAGCAGTTTCTCCATGTATTCGGTCGAGGAGCCATCGCGATGCTACGGCACAAGTGGCCGCGCGGCTGCAGAAATTGCAGCGAAGCCGGGCCCTGAGCTGCAAGTGGCGCATGGCAGCCACATGGAAATCCCATTGAGTAGATAGGAAAAATGGGGATTTACTGGAATATTTCCAAGGAACCCTGGGAGAAAATGGTTTTTTTCATGAAATTTCACAGGATTTAAATGGGATTGAACCAGCAATAGTGAGCAATTACGTGGGAATTGGGGATATTGCATCAGGAGATAGCTAACCGAAGATATCTGAAACTTAAATGTGGGTTAAACCGGGGAAAAAATGTATAGATTATAAGCCAAACGTCATGCAGATTTCTTATGGGGATATCTTATGATGGGGGTGCATCCCCGGCATCGTAAGTGGTATAATCTGGTCATTACTAACTTAGCAAACTGGATGCACATCCAAGTACCATTTCCAAGAGATGATGGTCTATGCGATTCGGAAGTGGGGTTGTTCGCACTTTTAATGGGAAACTATAGGAACATTAGGAACATCATATGCATTTCATGGGGGATTTCTATCAGGTGAGAACGCCTGGAGGGTAAGGTTTTTGATCCACCACTTTCCATGACGACTTTCAGGGGTGTTCAATATGGAGGGTTATTTTCTTGGTGATTTGTTTTTGCCGTTTTGTTTTTGTTTTGATTTCTGGTTCCAAATTTCTCTGCTTTTCAGTTTTTCTGCTTTTCCCTGGTTCTTTGCTTCTCTGCTTTTCCCTGCTGGCCTGCTTCTCTGCGTTTTCCTCCTTTCCTGCTTTTCTGTTTCTCTAATTCTCTGCTTTTTTGCTTTAACATTTTATGTTTTTTTGGCTCTCTGCTTCTCCGCTTTTCTTCTTTTCCCTGCTTTTCTGCTGCTTCTCCAGCTTCTCTGCTTTCCGCTTTTCCCTGTTTTTTTTGCTTTTCTGCTTACTTGCTTCTCTGCTTTTCCCTGCAGTTTTTTGTTTCTCATACTGTAGATAACCCCTAAGAAGCATGATATAATGATAATAATAATGATAATAATAATATGTAAACATAAACACTAAGTCAGCCCTAAATCAACCCTAAATAAAAACCAGAACAAACAAAAAACACTAACGCAACTCTAAGTAAACCCTAACATTCCCCAAATAAATCTGAAACAAATCCTAAATAAACCTAAAACCAGCCTGAATAGATCCTAAACCAGCCCTAAATAGATGTTAAACCAAACCTAAACGAGCCTTACACCAACCTTACATAGATCTTAAACCAGGCCTAAACCAACCCTAAATAGGTCCTAAACCAACTCTAGATAGATCCTGAACCAAGCCTAAATAAACCCCAAGACCAAGCCTAAACGGAGCTGAAACCAACCCTACATACTCGTAGATCTTAAAACACGCCTACATAAAACCCTAAACCAAACCCCAAATAAACCCTAAACCAATTTTAAATGGATCCTAAACCAACCCTAAATAGATCTTACCCTAGCCTAAATACACCCTAAAACCAACCCTAATCCTAAACCAACCCTAAATAGATCTTAAACCAAGCCTAAGTAAACCCTAAAACGAACCCTAAATGAACCCTAAACTAACCCTAAATAGATTTGAAACAAAACCTAAATAAATCATAAAACCAACTCTAAATAGATCCTCAACAAACCCTAACTCTAAAACCAACGCTTAAAAAAACCTGAACCCAACCCTGACAGAAGCCCTAAACTAACCCCAAAACATCCTAAAACCAACCCTAAATGAACCCTAGTTGCAAACTACCCTGTTCCATGAACAGTTTGAGCACCAAAACGTTGCAAATTCCATGGAAAATGAGAGGTTCGAACTCAACAATGCCGCAAATACCGTTGACCTGGCAGCTTCCAGCTCCAAAATGCTTCAAAGAGCACCAAAATGTTGCAAGTTCGATGGACAATTAGAGGTTCAAACTCAAAACTGCTGCAAATACCGTTGCGCTGGCACCTTCCAGCTCCAAAATGCTGCAAATAGCAAGGACAATGGACAGAACAGGAAATAAACAAAACAAAGCGGAAAAAAAACGGCCCAAACAATTCCGGACCCAAAGTTCATTATTCAGAGGACTGGGTTAACGGAAAAAAAAACGGCCCAAACAATTCCGGACCCAAAGTTCATTGCTCAGAGGACTGGGTTGACCTGGGCAGGGAATGGATTTTCATGGGTGAAATTGTAGAGATAAATGGAAGGCCTCTGCTACTTTTGATGGGCATCTGCCGCCGTTGTCCGGAGATTTCTGGGTAGTTTTTGTCGAACCATGGAATCCGGTTGTCAGTGGCAGGGTTCCAAGTTCTGTGTCAGTTGCTGAGCATGGCTAGTTTTTTTTTCGTCAGTGTTCTGTGTGTTGGCTCCAACACACTGAGAGTTCCCTTGTAAATTGGTTCAGTCCCCTGAGATCTCCCCATCAGACATAGCCAGACATACCCTCTGGTGAACTAACATACCTACTGAACATCACCACCTCAATAGGTGAATCAACGAACTAAATTCTCTATTTTCCATTGCAAACTGCTACTTTACCCACTAAGGTACCCATGGTTTCTTGCCAAGGTCTTTTTGACGAAGACGCAGGCAAAGTCACTTTCGAAGCGGCTGTGGTGCCCTGGTTTTGCAATTTTGTGACTAGAGATCTCCCAATAGATACAGTATAGCTAGCACCACCAAATGGCATTATACAAATCTGGTGTGGGAATGTTTGGGAAATACTTTCAAATTGTCGCGTATTTTTTTTGTGTACACATCCTGGCAATCGAGAACACACTAATTAAGAGGGGACATGATGGGACTATGTTTGAAGACCACCGATTCAATCTACTTCAGGATGATTATATATGACCTCCGTAATGGTGCCCGTAGCCATAGAGGAGTTACAACCCGGGTTACAAGTCCAAGCTTATACAATGGCTGGCAAAACATTTGAAATGCCATAGAATAGATTTGTATAGAGGTTAGTAAGTGTAATTTTGGAAAGAAAAAAAGTTCCTGTTGAAAGCTCTGCAGCAACGCTTTCGCCCATGGCCCAAATGTCTCCGCTTTCGACTTGGATGTTCATCCCAGTGATTGGTTCATTTCTGGGGCCTCAACGGGGTCAATGGGACAAGCGCTTGCCATGAAAACTACTTCACATTCCTGGCAATATGGGAAGGAAATGGTGGCACCATCCTGTCATATAAAATTTCTTTGACTTCTAAGTTGTGAATCAAAATGAATAGATGATATAGATGCAGTATGAAACCAAGGTTTCAGACTCTGGGGAGGTTTTAATATACGGCTGTGGACCTTGGGGTATACGGTATACCATGGTATACCCCTCAAAGATCCTTATATGATTTCCTATTCATCATTTCAATAGGGATAGAAAGTCTCAGCAGCCAAAAAAAAGGCATTGATCATCAACGATCGCCGTTTGTTTTTATTCAGCTTTTCCCGAATCTTCAGACTCTGTGGGACGATGACCCCTGGTACGATGCCGATGCTCCCAGGCCATGATCCTAGAGTTGCCAGAGCGTCTCAAATCCGTAGAGGCCGCTTTGACCGGATTTTTTCATGGATCAAAACTGCAGAACGGCATACCCTGTTTTTCATACTTTGGTAGATTTGTACATTTAATTCAGACATGTTGCACCAATTGACATGTCACTGAACCCTTTTACCAACTGCAGTCGACGTAGCTGCCCTTTTGAAGCTCAAACACTCGAGCTGCTGCCGTGAAAACAGAGAAGGCGGCTGCTTGCAACGTGGACGAGGTGCGGAGAACCTGGAATTTGGGACCTGGACATTTCCAGGTTATGAGCCCAAGCGGTTCACTGGGCAGATGAGTGAGTTCCATAGGAGAAGGGCCACCAAAGAAGAGATGGAGCAGGGTCAAAAGGAGATAAGACTAGCTGATGAAAGAATGAAAGCAGAGGCTGAGAGTAGGGGTGAGATGCCTATACAAAACGGACCTGAAGAAAAACCTGAGGATGTTGTAGAAGGGGAAACGTCTCCACCGAAAGAGGGTAAGAGAGATGAACCTCAAAGAGGTACCCCTGCAAGGAATTCCAATCAGGGTTCAGGTGCCAAAGCGTTGTTGCCGCCTACACAACCTCCTCCTGATCCTCCTGCCCTTTCTCTACGTCAAGAGGTGGTGAACTCCCTTGAGAAGAATACGCCCGCCGACAAGGGTGAAGGCAACTTCAATGGTGGACCTTTGATGAGGGAGATTGCAACTCCCCCTGAACAACAAGCAGGAGATGATGCAAACCAAGTGCAAGGGCAATCCATGGCACCCCCGTTGTTCACCGAGGAGCAGCTGAGAAACTTTGCTGCACTGCAGGGACAAGCCGCATGGATGTATGGGCCCCAACAGTCGTTTTTCAATCCAATTGGTTTTTCACGTCCTTCATTTTTGGATGGAGATGCAGCCAGAGCTTCAGTGAGTCAACATGAAAGAGACATGGAGTTTCTGAGAATGCAAGCTGTGAGAGACCGAGAGGAGAAAGACGAATGTAGAAGGCAGATTGAACTGTTGGTAGAAGAGAACCGTCAGTTGAGAGCCAGGTTTGAAAGTGCTAGCAAGATGCAGACTGAGGATGAACCTAGGTTTGCGACTCCTGAGGAACAGCCGGATCAGACCAGCCCAGGTTTCGACATGGATGTGGATTGGTTGAAGCGGCGAAAGGAGGCTGACAGACCCCCATCAAAGGAGGCTGACAGACCCCCATCAAAGGAGGCTGACAGACCTCCATCAAAGGAGGCCGCCAGACCCCCATTCCTACCTGAGGCCGCAGAGTTCAAAACCCCCAAGGAGGCTGCCAGACCCCCAAAGGTGGAAGCATCACAGCGTCCCCAAGAAGAAGGAAGCCGAGGTGCACCTGGTGGAGGGAATGCGCAGTTCACTGAGAAATCTTTGGAGTTCATGGTGATTATGATGGAAACTATGAAGGACCTACACAAGAAGGTCAACGAGACAAAGGATGAGACTGGCATGGTTCGAGGAGTTGAGATTGTGAGGTCCGGCACTCCTGACCTGCCGGTGTTGACCCCCTGGTCACCAAGCCAGGGTCCCCTCCAGTTGGGAGATTGGCTTCTGACTGTGGAGCCGATCATAGCTGATTTGTCAGCAACTTCAGAAGTGTGGTGGTCGCTGATGGTGAAGTCTGCAGAGCAGTGGTACCAGAAGCACATGATGATGCCCCCACTAGATCGAGTTCAACATGAAGTTCAACCGCCCCCAGAGGTCACCTTGGAAAAATGGTCCAGGTTGGAAAGAAGAACGGCATCGATGCTGCTTCAATCTGTGCCGGAGGTGGTCAAGGAGGAGTTGGTTTCAGCTCGACGGCTGAGCGTTTTTGGGATTTTGACGCAACTGCTGTTGACGTATTGCCCAGGTGGTGTCTTGGAGAAGCAGACATTGCTGAGAAGTTTGGAGGAGCCAACAGAGGTCACCACGGTGGGCGAGGCTCCTGCTGCAATACGTCGGTGGCTACGTTGGAAGCTGCGGTCCCAGGAGATCGGTGCAGTGACCCCAGACCCGGCACTGTTGTTGAAAGGTCTGAACAAGTTAACACGCCGAGTCCTGGAGTCCAACAAAGAACTACAATTCAGGGTCAGCCTGGCCCGAAATTCCCTTGGTGTGGATACGAGGCCGACCGACACCACAGTCAGCCAGTTTGCCACGCACCTTTTGGCTGAGATCGAACAAGTTGCTCTTTCCGAAAAGAGGGCCACTGCTGCGATGCCAAAGGGCGAGGTGAAGATCAAATACTTGGACGCAGACAAGAACAAGCCAAAGACTAAAGAGAGGTCTACAGAGGAGGACAAGCCGAAGCCAAAATGCAGGTTTTTTCTCACGGATGCTGGTTGCAAAAGGGGAAAGGAATGCACGTTTAGCCATGATGTCAAAGATGATCGTCGCAGGTGTTACAACTGCGGCAGTGTGGACCACCTTTCACCAAGCTGCACCAGGTCAAAAGGCGCTTCTACCGAAACAAGCCCCAACAAGCCGAGGGTTGCCAAGGCCGAGGGGGAGGAGCGCAATGTGACTTCACCAATGAAGGAGTCAGAGACTGGAAGCCAATCTAGTCAAGGGGAGGCAGTGAAGGACTTGCTGGAGGAGGCCAACCGGATGTTGAAGTCTCTGTCGAGCTCTTCCAACACTACTGCTTCTACAACCTCTTCGACGTCTGAAGAAGAGCGAAAAGATGTGATGGAGCGCCTTCATCAGCAGTTGAAGTCGATGAAGACGTTCAAGATGAAGAGACTCAATGTTGGGAATGATGTTGGACTTGTGGATTCAGGTGCAACACATCCACTTCGTCCTAGACATGAAGGCGAGAATGTTGATTTGTACCCAGTGGTGGAGGTGGCATTGGCAGATGGAAGGACGGTGAGGTTGAAGATGTCCCCTGGAGGTGCTATGATATCACCTTCACCTGCCATCGAGCCTATCATCCCTATGGGCTTGTTGTCGCAGAAGCTGAACTGTGACATTTCCTGGAAGCAAGGATCTATGCAGATCCACCATCCTCTGAGAGGAGAAATCAAGGTGATGATGAAGGGAAGTTGCCCCCATGTTGCCAGATCTGAGGCTTTGACGTTGATTGCGGAGCTGGAGGACATCAAGATGGGCATTCCCAATGAGATTGGAAGTTTTGATGCGGAAGTGGCATGGCTGAGAAAGCTGGTGTCGCAACATCCAGTGCTGTCTTCACTCCCAGAGCACATCAAGGAGCGGCTGGTGGTGGAGCCTGGAACTTGGTCTGATCTTCCAGGCAACAGACACTCAAGAAAGCGCTGGAAGAGGAGTGGCTTAGCAGTTCATTTGTATGCTGGGCCAGAAACAGGGTTCACTTTGCGGCATGCCATCAAACAGCTGGGTGGTTCTGTCGATGCCTTGTTGGAAGTTGATGTTCAACGAGGAGAACAACATGACATGCTGTCGGACCACGCAGTTTATCGTGGTCTGTTGAAGGTGGCTTTGGAGGGAAAGATCAATGCGATCGTTGGTGGGCCAAACTGCAGGACGAGAAGCTTGCTGAGGCACATCCCCATTCCAGGGCAGCCTAGTGCCCCGAGGCCGATTCGCCGCTGGGGAGGTGAGGAGTTTGGTATTCATGATGCAACAGAAGAGGAGAAACAGAAGCTTCATGAAGACGATGTTTTGATGTGGCGTTTTTGGTTTTTGTACATGGTTGCAGTGTACATGAGAAGGGCCAGAAAGGTTGAGACCGAAGTGACCGTCTCTGTGGAGCAGCCAGCAACCCCCAAGGAGTTCATGCCGGAGGTGGTGAGTTGGTGGGATACAAAAGAATGGGCAGAGCTGGCACGAGAGTTCAGCTTTGAGGAATCAACTTTCAAGCAGGGTGAGCTTGGTGGTCTTACCCCGAAGCCAACGACGTTTGGTGGGAACTTGGAGCTCTACGCAGCTGGTCATCAAAGGAGATGCAGAGCAGGAGAAAGGGTATCTTGCTCGTCCCAGCTTTCGAGATGGGCCCCAGGAGTGATGTCAATGGTCGCCTCAGCTTTGATCAGACAGGTTGAGGGCCCCATTTTTAAAGGGAAAGCTATGTCCTGGAGCGAGCATTTGGCTTTCAGGCATGTTCCATACAGGAGAGATTGTCGAGTATGCCAGGAGAGCTCACAACAATGCCCGCCTCATCGACTGGTCAAGGACCCAATTGCTGGAGTGCTTTCAATCGACACAGCTGGTCCACTGAAGCCTGCTTATGATTTGGGTGGGCACATGGCAAGGTATTTTTTGGTTGGAGTTTTGACCTGGAGGGTGCCAAAGGGGAGTGACAAGATGCAGAACCCCCCTGAAGAAGCAGCTTCTGAAGGAGCTCCGGATATTGAAGAAGGAGCTGAGGATCCAGTTCCACCGGGTGAGGACGGATTGGAAGCTGAGGAGTTGCTTCCAGCCCAGCTCCCTGGTGAAGCGCCGGCTGAAGGAGAGCCTGGCGACGCCCCTGGTGAGGACGGGTTGGAAGGTCATGCAGATCTTCCAGTCCAGCTCCCAGGCGAGACGTTTGGACCCCCAACTTTGGATGAGGTCACAGAGTTGAGAAGGTTCAGAATGGCCTTGCCAATGGGTTCCAAAAAGGCGAGAGATGTGGTGAACACGGTGATGGAGTTCGTGTTGCGGCTGCGGACGGAAGGGTTCCATGTGGGCCGCATCCATTCAGACCAAGGTCATGAGTTTGCTGGCGAGTTCAAGACATGGGCCCGACAGCGTGGGATCTACCTCACCAAAACACCAGGTGATGATCCAGCCGCAAACGGCAGAGCTGAAATGGCGGTGAAGGACTTCAAGAACCAGATCCGCAGAACGTTGAGGCAGGCCAGTGAAGATGCGAAATGGTGGCCATGGGCTTTGAGGTACGTCAATGAGGTGTACCGATGTGTCCGGATGGAGACAAGACCAAGTTGGCCAAGGTTTTTGGAAGAAGTAAGAGTCCGAAAGCGGACATGGAGGCGGGATGACCTGGACCCCAGAGTGGAGAAGGTTCAGTATCTATGCCCTTCAGTGGAAAACCATGGTCATTGGGTGATCAAAGAAGGCGAAGCCCCACGCCTTACGCGCTACATTTTGGCGCCCACCACTGAGCCGGAGGATGAGACGGTTTGGATTGCGGTGGAAAGAGAAGGGCGAGATGCACAAGAACAGCGACGCCGAATCAGAGGCAGATCAGCAGTGAGGAGAATGGATGCCTCAGTTGCAGATCCTGAGGAGGTGCTGGAAGAAAAGGAAAAGGCTGAAGTTCAAAGATTGATGAAGGTGGTGGAGGATGAGATGCAGTCCATCATCAACGACGACCCAGATCTGGCCGCCGAGGAAGTCAGAATTTTGGGAAGGCTGAGAAAAATGGCTGAAGTGAAGGAGGATGGAGATGAGATCCTTCAAACAAAGGTCATCTCACCAAAGGAGGTGGTCAGAAACTGGTCGGAGTGGATCCCATCAGTGAGAAGCGAGGTGGAGTCCCTGACCATTGAGAAGGCAGCCTTGAAGGAGCTGTCAAAGGATGAAGTCAAAGCGTTGAAGAAGAAGGCAGAAAAGGAGGGTAAGAAGTTGGAGATCATACCTTCCAAACTGGTGTTCACTGTGAAACCTTCCCCAGACCACAAAGAAGGGAAAAAGAAAACCCGGTGGGTTGTTTGCGGAAACTATGAGGAGAAGAAAGAGGGGGAGGAAAACTACTCAGGTGGTGCAGATGCCACATCTTTGAGGTTGTTGGCATGGATTGCATCCCGCATGAAGTGGGCCGGATGCATCCTGGATGTCAGAACTGCTTTCCCCAACGCGCAGATGGAACAGGAGCCGGATGAGGACCTTCTTTTGGTCCAGCCACCCCACATCTTGAAGGAGATGAAGTTTCTGGACCCGGACACACTGTACCTGCCATTGAAGGCAGTGTACGGCTTCAGGCGCTCACCAAAGCTTTGGGGTCTTCATCGAGACAAAACGATCAAGACCTTTGACATCAAGGTGGTCATTGATGGCCGCTGCGAAAGCCTGGAGCTGAAGCCGATGGAGTCAGAGCAGAACCTATGGAAGGTGGTTGTGGTCAGAGGAGGCTTCCAAGAGGCAGAAGAAGAATGGATCTCAAACGGCCGAGTCATTGGCCTTGTGATGACGTATGTCGACGACATTTTTATCGTCGCCGAGAAGCAGGTGGCGAAGTCAGTTGCTCAGAAGTTTCAAGAGACCTGGGCGACCACACAACCGGAGTGGGTTGGCGAGACACCAGTGAGGTTTTTGGGCCTGGAGGTGACTTGCCACCAAATCGAGGGGGAGGAGAAGGTCCAATGGTGTCTTTCACAAGAGGCATACATCAAAGACTTGCTTGGGGAGGTGACTTGCCACCAAATCGAGGGGGAGGAGAAGGTCCAATGGTGTCTTTCACAAGAGGCATACATCAAAGACTTGCTTGGGCGCTATGAGGAGGAGGGAAAACCACGAAAGCTCCCTATCACCCGTGACCAAGCTTCGATGCCTCCAGATGTGATTCCCCCTTCGCCAGAAGGAGTCAAGTTTTCCCAGAAGGTCATCGGTGAGTTGCTTTGGCTGGTGACCCGAAGCAGACCAGATTTGATGTTTGGAGTTTCCAGGATGGGGGCCAACGTTTTGAAGGCCGCCAACTGCATCAAGGACACAGCAGCACAAATGAGGTCCTATCTCAGGAGAACTGCAGGTGAGGGCTTACAGTACAAGCAGAAGATCGATGACCCGATCACGCTGTATGTCTACTCAGACTCCAGCTTTGCACCCGAAGCAGATGAGTCCCATGGATCGTTTGTGGTTATGGTGAACGATGGGTTGATGTTTTGGAGAAGCGGCAGGCAGGGCACAATCACCTTGAGCACGGCCGAGTCAGAGTTGATGGAGCTAGTTGAGGCGATGATTGCCGGCGAGTCAGTTTACGTCGTGCTGGCAGAGCTGTTTGGTGAAATCTCAAAGGTGGCATTGTGCGATTCGCAAGCTGCACTGGCCATTTTGGTTGCTGAGGGCGGAAGCTGGAGGACAAGACACCTCAGGCTGAGGTGGGCGTTTGCTCGCCAATCTGTGCTGCGTGGTGACTGGCAGGTGGGTCATGTCCCTGGTGAGAAGATGTTGGCGGACCTGGGCACAAAAGTTCTGACCTCATCGAGGATGGAAACTTTGAAGCAGATGATGGGCATGGGAGTTGCTCAGCCCGAAGAAAAAGGTGTTGAAATGGAGAAGGATGAGAAAAAAGAAAAGGAGATCAAGACCGACTCAAAATCGGTCGCCACCATGGCCGTCAAGCTCATCACGATGGCGGCCTTGTTGTCAATGTCAAAGGCTCAAGGAGATGAAGAAGACGATGAACCAGCAGGTGACTTCCACAACTTTATGGTCATCTACACGGTGCTGATCATTCTGACCACGCTGATGGTCCAAATCCTGTGGAAGGTAGGAGTAGGCGCATTGGGCGAAAACTGGAAAAGAAGGTTTTTTACCCGTGGCCGAAGTCTCCCCATGGGTGAGGAAACGTCAGTGGCAGAGGGTCGAGCATGTGCTGAGGTGTGCGGACCCGTGGAAAGACCACGGCATCTGCCCTCGGCTGCTGGGTCGTCAAACCAGCCAAGCCCCGCTGAGGACGGGTTGGGGATGGAGGAGGGATCCCCAGTCCAGCTCGCGGTGGCTGAGCAGCGACGCGCCGGTGAGGGCGGGTTGGGGCAGAGGGCCTCAGTCCAGCTCCCAGCTTCGGCTGGTGAGGGCGGGTTGGAGGGTCATGCTGATCCTCCAGTCCAGCTCCCGGCTGCGCCTGCAAAAGCTCCCCCGCCAAAGGAGGGACCAAAGGCCCCGTCAAAAGCGGGCCAAACACCAAAGGCCCCACCAAAAGCGGGCTCAAAACCAAAGGCCGCACCACAAAGTGGCCCATCAGCTTCCAGCTCATCAAGTGGAAGCACATCAAGCAGTATGACAGGCCGAATTGAGACGGCGATTCAAGACATTGCATATGAAGAAGCAGCCCTGTGGGACCATTTTGGAAGACAGGGCGACTTTCCAGGAGTGCCAGAAGATCATAGCAGAGCAGAACTTGGATTTCAGGTGTTGAGGACGCCATGTGGAACAGTGTATCACGATACACGTGGATGCACCCAGCTTCAAGGACCACGAACTGGCTATGCGAGACCGTTCACATGGTGTGCCTTGTGCCGAGAGGTTGCGATGCGCACCCGTGGAAGACCAATCCCTGGAAGTCCGCTGCTTTTGCGAATGGGCGATCAGACCGTCCATACTGATCGAAGATGCCCGAGAGCACGAGATGCTACGGAGCTGAGAGGATGCATGTACTGTACAGAGTACAATGGGTAGGGCAGGTTGAGCTGTAAAGAAAGAAATGGATGCAATCTAACGACGCATCCAAGGGGGAGTGCGGAACGGCATACCCTGTTTTTCATACTTTGGTAGATTTGTACATTTAATTCAGACATGTTGCACCAATTGACATGTCACTGAACCCTTTTACCAACTGCAGTCGACGTAGCTGCCCTTTTGAAGCTCAAACACTCGAGCTGCTGCCGTGAAAACAGAGAAGGCGGCTGCTTGCAACGTGGACGAGGTGCGGAGAACCTGGAATTTGGGACCTGGACATTTCCAAAAACAAACCCAAAAAGCAATCCTTGGTTCTTCTTAAATCATGGATCTCAGTTTCTGTGATGATTTTTTTTAAAATGTCTTAAACCTACGTAGGAAAAAGCTTAGGACGATTGAAACAACTAGGGATGTTCACACAGAAAGGGGGGTTGAAGCAACACACACACACACACACACCTTTCAAATATTTGCAATATTTTATCTAAAAGAAGAGAAACACGAGGGGCTGATGTTTTGAATGCAAACCAGATATGTTTCATGTGTGTTTGGTCGCTCCAATTCCACAGGTTTGACCTTTTTTCCCCATCTAAATTTTAAGAGGGCAGTTGTTCAGCATGAAATCCGGTGACGCAGTGGAATGCCAGCCATCAATGTCGTTCCTCAGGACAGCACCCAGACCCTGCTGATCCAAGTGAACAAGAACAGGGACGACCAGCTGAAACGAGCTCCTTGCTCAGGTTTTCAGGGAATCTTCCATGATGAATAGCAGCTAGATATATAGAGAAAAAAAGAGCTAGTTTACCACATTTTAAGGATTTTTAAAGGTATCTCATGTCACATGTGAGTGTCATATCTATTTATATAGATGTTCCTTGTACGCGGCGTATACTTGTATACAATATATATATATATATGTACGTATATTATATACAGTATATATATAACTTATATAATTACAGTACATATGTATACGGAATATATAATTTACACATCATGTCGGATCATCCGCGAGGCCTCGACGCGAGTCAATATCCCAGCTGTAAAGGCGGCCCAAGAGTTTGAAATCCATGACAAACCAGTGGAACAGGCGTGCCCAGAGGATACCACCGGGTGTACAGAAATGGGTACCGGAAAAAATGACCATATGTTTTTTTTTGTTTAAATCTCCGTAGCTATGGAAAATCACCATTTTTGAACATGGTAAATCAAAGATGGTTAGCTGGGAAATCCCTTGAAGTAAATAATTATGCAGGTTATAGCTGTGAAAATCATCTATTTTCATGGGCCATGACTTCCATCGCGAACTGTTGAATTGCCAGAGGGTACGTTTTACATCAAAACTGGGGGATGGCACCCGAAGTGAAAAAACTTAGTATTCCGAGTCAGAGCACCGTTGCAGGGGGAAGTTGCAGGGGTGATCAACTTTGGGACACTAGTCGTTTTTTCATCATATGGAACATGCCGTCAGGTCATACCCACATGATTCTACTCCCCCCTTCATTGCACGGAAGATCGGGCTTTCCCCGATAGATGGTAAAAACCCTTTAAATATGGTAAACTTATGTAACAACTACTGTAACAACCAATTCAATACCTAGATTTAAACACCTATAGATTTCCTGATCTTCCCAACAAGACCCGGTTGGTCGGGTTTCAGGCGGTGAAGGAATGCCGAGAAGCCGTGAATGTGATGTTGGAGATGCAAAGGCGAGTCATGGGCAGCCAGGGCCGGTGGCAAGGTGACGGTGTTTGATGATGGATCGAGTGTCTCCAGATGATGAAGGCCCCTAGGCCCTAGGCGACTTGGGGCTCATCATGGAGGAAGGTCATCAAACACCCTTTAGCATGGTCAGTTTCCCAATGATAATCATGATAATGATGCGCACCTGCAAACGACGCTTGATTTGGGGTTGCAACATGTGAGAATTCCACATGTAACCAGTGCTGGGTCTTCCATTTCTGGTTTCTGACTTTTTTTCTCCGAGCAAAAACATGGTGGCCCAAGCAGAACTGTGCAAGGGCAGTGCACAGGACATTTACCGATGGACAAGAAGAATTGTTGCGCACCAGGTGCCATGATTGATGGTGTGGGACAGTGTGGGAGCTGGGCAGCTGGGCAGCTGGGCAGCTGGGCTGGTGCCATAGACCTGCTTGGGATGATATGTTTGGAGGTTCTTCCGACTCTCAGCATGATATGTTCATAATATTTTTCCTTCCAACCAGTCCCAGTCCCATGTATATATAAACTATATATATATATACATGTTACAGATACATATATAATCATATACAATTATATACATGTATATATATATATATATATATTTGATTTGAGTAGACCATATACATCTTTTTGTGCCTGATGGGAGACATCTCCGAATCTGGAGGCTCCTCCGTTTCGAAGAGGAATTCCACAAAGCGGGCATTGCCAACGCCGACGAGATTGCGTTTCGATATAGCACGCAATCTCGTGAACTGGAGGTGCGGTGGATTGATTTGAGAGAGGAAACCAGGGGAAACCAGGGCGAAAACACCCCCATGGTGGACATCATTTCCCTGATTTTACCCGGCGGGATGTAAGGGGACATCAGATCGAGGAGTTGGGATGGTAGTCCCTGGAGGGGTTGCATTTTTCACACACAGAACATGGACTTGTCAGTGAATCTCCCCCTTTTTTGTGAATGAAGATGCTTGCAAAAATCCCAAAATAAGAGCCTTGATTTGATGACAACCACCTGATAAATGAGAACACCTCACTTTTCAATAGGAAAATCATGGAAAATCTGGGAGCATCATCTATAAAAGTTGCATTTTCCCACGGGGATTTTCGCTTCTCAGGGGATCTATGCACGGCTCGAGGGCGTGGAACATGGTGACTGGCTCTGATGGTTTCCTGAGTGGGGGTACCCCCATAGCTGGTTTATTTCATGGAAAATCCCAATCTATGGATAATGACTGGGGGCAGCCCTGGGTACCATCCAAAAGAAAGCCAAAGAATGGATTGTGTAGTGGGAAACGGTACAGGAAGCCTTTGTTTTTACAGTAAACATTTAACTTTCCTGTAAACAAATCCCATCATCCAGCTGATATTTAGGTGGATCCCCCATTGCCGCGACAAGGACGTTCGTTCATGGAAATAGGGATACATAGACATACTGGGGTATGGACGGTATGGAATTAATGCACAGAACCCTTGATGCCTATTTTCTACTCAAAACACAGTGTTATTTTTGGCGCATTTTGGCGCTATATTTCTTCTAGGATTGGGTGGGGTCGGAGGTTTGTAAGGTTTTAGATGTATTTTCCGTCAAACTTTTGTATTTCAAACTCGGAGTCTAAGATTTCTTGAAAAGTTGTTTGCACCATAGAATTGCCGCAGAAGTGATAATTTTGTTCAGTGTCCAAGTGGAGTCCAAAACGCAGAACAGACAAAGCGCAGGGTTGCAGCGCACATTGTTTGCTGGTCACATATCCACTTGTAAAGCTTTTCTCATCCCCAGTGCTTGTACGGGTTCGGATAGTAACTCACTATTTGAGTATACATATATGATATTATATATATAATTATATATAATGATATAAATTGATATACTATATACATATATAACATATATATATATGTAATATATATATAATATATATATATATAATATACACAATTAAATTCACAATTATACACACACACACAGATCCGCAGAGTGTACTATACATAGCTGTCTACAGTCCGTCTACTGAGCTGTGATGCCCGAGGTATTCAACGTGGGGAGGAATCCTTTGAACAGCTCTCCAAATGGAAGGTGCCGCCGTTGGGATGCGGAGGGTCTCAGAAAGGACATCCCTAAGAGATCCCATCAGAGTCCATGGGGCTGGATTTCTGACGGTCCTTTGGGTGCTGAGTATCTCAAGGGCATGGCTCCGAAGCTTTCCCTGGAAGTCGTGCCTTTTTGCCAAACGCAGGGGAACTCTGGTGATCTCAGCACAACTTTTTAGTTTCTTAGCGTTTTTGTGTGTTTTCTCGTGCGTTCAGCTTGGGTTTAGGTATCTACTTATGCTTAGGGTACCCGGCCATTGCACTAGAGGATGATCTCAGACTTTCGGCCCTTGGGATTGGTGGCTCAACATAGCGAACAACCGGTAAACCAGTAACCCAGTTACAGGCTGTAGAGCCCATTCTTATCCAGTAAAATCATCCCTTACGTCCATTTACACTGTAGGTGATTAAAAAAAACAATCTTGATATGGGGTTTGTCCAATCCTCCATGTTTGATTTCCAGAGGGTTTGCCTGGGGGTTTGCTGGAGAGTCGATGGGAGTATACGCAAAAAAATGTTGGTGAAGCGGCTAAGAATCCTATCTAATAAGCCCCTGACTTACAACATTTACAACCATCACTATGAACCAACTACTTGAATGTGCAACAACCAGGTAGCACTGTCGGTTAACACCCCCTGACTGGGAATACCCCACATGTAGCTCGGCTAATGTGGTAAACCCATGTAAACCCAACTATAAATCATCCCAACTATTATGATAAATGGGTGGGCTTTCAAACCAAAATGGTTAGAATTGACCATAATACGAATGGGGTGAACTCCTGTGAGCCATTGTGAGCCAATCCACCATTTCAGGATACACATGCCGCGGTAAACACCCCGTTTTTGAATCAACGCAATTCATGTCATGTGTATCAGACATCGGCCAATTTGTGATGATTTGTGCAAGTATCAGTTTACTGTACATCCTGTCAATCCTGTTGTCTTGCCCATTCCTTTGTTTTTTTGTTTCAGAGTTCCAAAGCAGCTGTTTGTCTAGGCCCCCCCCCTGTGGAAATCTGCTCCTCAGACTCGGTCATTTTGAGTACTTTTCTGTCTCAATTTTTTTGGGGCCAACATGGGTCAACAATTTTGACCCATTATCCCATGATTATCCCATGATTATCCCATGATTATCCCATGATTATCCCATGATTATCTCAATATTTTGAGGATATTCTTAGCCATGAGCCATCCTGCAATCGTCATCTTCCATTTTTTTCGATTTATTGACCCTAGCCCTAGACAATGTAAAATCCATATAATTCATTATAATTCATTACCAGTAGTACCGCACAAGGCGGTGGCGGAAGTTTCAAAAATAAGAAACCTATAGGAGAGGTTGGTTGTTGTGAATCAGGGATGGCAGAGCGAAGCCACTGCTGGATTGAAAGGTGCTTGATCTCTCTCACTCTTTCTCTCTCTTTCTCTGACTATCTACCTACCTACCTATCTATTTTCTATGTATCTATCTATCTCTCTATCTAGCTATCTATCTCTCCCTCTCTCTCTTTCATTTGATGACCCTATCTATCTATCTATCGATCGACCTATCTATCTATCTATCTATCTCTCTCTCTCTATCTCTCCGTCTATCTATCTATCTCTCTATGTATCTATCTAGCTCTCCATGTATCGATCTATGCATTTATCGATGTATCTATCTATCTATCTATCTATCTATCTATCTATCATCTATCTATCTATCTATCTATCTCTCTATGATCTATTGTTGTTGTTGTTGTTGTAGTTGTAGTAGTAGTAGTAGTAGTAGTTGTTGTTGTTGTTATTGCTGTTGCTGTTGCTGTTGTCGTCGAAGTTAGGGTAGTTGTGTTAGTGAAGGTACTTAAGTTAGTCAAGTTAGTTAAGTTAATCAGTGTCTACTTTTTCGACATCAGCACGTCAAAAAAGGCTCAAAACCCTCAGTTTTTTACACTTTTGACTTCGAAATGTGCTTCGCGCCACAACGGCATGCACTTTCTCGACACTTTTTCGACATCTGAACCTCCAAAAATGGTCCGAGACCGCCAGTTTTTAACACTTTTGACTTGGAAATGTGCTTCGCGCCACAACGGCGTGCACTTTTTTGACATCTCAACTTCCAAAAGTGGTCCGAACCCCTAGTGTTTTTAACCTTTTGACTTGGAAATGTGCTTCGCGCCACAACGGCGTGCACTTTTTCAACATCTCAACTGCCAAAAGGGGTCCGGACCTGGTGTGTTTTGTACATTTTGACTTCAAAATGTGCTTCGCGCCACAACGGCGTGCACTTTTTCGACATCGCAACTTCCAAAAGTGGTCCGGCCATGGTGTGTTTTGTACATTTTGACTTCAAAATGTGCTTCGCGCCACAACGGCGTGCAAATTTTCATCTCTCATCTGGCCAGCTGGCTCCGCACCCGCCGCTTTAGCGAGCCTACTTTTCGACCCTCCGGAGCCACAGATCATTGGAAAAACACAGTGTTTCGCGACTTTCCTACCTTTTCTCGCATCTGTGTCTTCTGTCCTCTTACTCTTTCTCTTCTGATCTTCTCTCTTCTAATCTTCCTCTTCTCTCTGCCTCTGCCCTGCTCTGCTTTTCATCTGTCCATATTGTCGGAAGTTTGACTTCTAAACTTCCTTCGATAATTATAATTCATTATAATTCATTATACATCCCAAATTCTGAAGTTGAACCATGTATAAAGAAGATTAAAGAATATTAAACAATATCAATCCCCCCCAAAATGTCCTGTTTCCGGGTCTCCAAGTTCTCGAGTCAGGAGAAGCACAGCTTTTCGATCTTCGATTTGGAGCGGCGCACGTCGGAGGACGGCTCGGTCTGGAGTTTTTTGGGGGTCGGAGCTGCGGAGATGTTTCTGGGAAACCAAGCATAGGCTGATACCCTGTGGTACTCAAACGTGGCAGTGGAAAATCCTCTATGAATGGAGGTTCTGATAGGAAAATCACCTATTTAAATGGTGGATTTTTCATTGCCACATTTGATTACAGGAGGATACCCTCAAATAGCAATCTTAATGGGGAAACTTTGATGATACACTGCTTGATGAGTTGTGGGGTTCCAGCTTTTGAGGCAACGGAAGAACATGTTGACCCACGGTAGAACAATGTGGAAGTGATGAACATGATCAAAATTAAAACTTCCCTTTGGTGAAACAAACATAGCTAGTGAAAACCACCATCTTAGTAGGTAAAGCAGCTATAAATTTGCAATTTTTCCATAGCTATGTTAATTTCTGGATGGCAATGAAGATGTACATAGAAACCAAAAAGGGATACAAAGCTGGCGATCCCCCCAGTAATTTTGCGGGCAATCACCTCGTCTTGCCTGAGGCACTCTCAAAACACCGTAAATATCCGTAAATAGTGGCATTTCTGAAAAGCTCAGGTAGGGGACTTGTGCATCATTGCACAAGTCATTCTGAACCCCAACATCCTAAGGCCCTAAGAGCTGAAACCCCAAAGCATAAGCCCTAGCACACAAAAGGACAATTGACAAATATATAAAAGGAAAGCATCCTACAAGCAAAACACATGAACCATTAAACCCCAATTCTTGAACCCTAAGACCTTGAAAACCTAAAAGTGATGTGGGACGACACGGGGTGTCTGGGCGTAGTTTGACATAGCCATGGAGATTAGCACTTTCAATCGGCAAATCATCTATAAACGGGTAGTGTTCCACAGCTTTTCAAATTACCAGAGGGTAAGACATTGCAGAAGCAAGCTCGGTAGATCCGAACTTGCGATTCTTAACTGATTGCAGATGCCCAAGCTGCGCAGATACACGCAGAAAGGTTTTGATGGTTTTGTCCTGTAAGCATGTATCAACTGCCTGACTACCTCCTTAACCCCGGAGTAGAAATAAAGCTCTGGCTGAGTAATAAGGAAAACACAGCACAAAACAGTTTTCATTTGCAAGTAAAATGTAAACACTCAACTAAACCAAGCAGGGATTAACATTTACCTTCTATAACTGGAAGAACCAAAAAACATTGACATGTTGGCACCCCAGGCAGAGAGTCAATTGAAGCTGCTCATGGCCGACGTCGAGGTGCACGAAAACCATCTACTGCCAGGTTTGACCGGTGGATTTAGAACAGTTCAAACCTGGAAGTAGATTCCTGGCAGTTGATAAAACCACAAAAATGGTGAAAATTCCCCTCTACTACCATGATAAAAAACAGTTCACCATTGATTTATCATGCGGCTTTTGAATTGGCATGAGGGCAAGTCGAGGTACCTGAAGCCAAGCTGCTGAGAGTAGCACTCTGTTTGAGGTCTTAGATCAGAAAAGTCCAAGCAATTCTGGATTGAAGCATATTGTAGCCATGCCACCCACCAGGACGTTGGTCCTTTTTTTTTGGGATAGCTAAAGACCATTATGTTGCTGCATGCCTCCATTTCCCTCCCTAGTCCCCCCTGGCCAAGCCCCTAGTCCCCCAAGTCCCCGCCATGTCCTCTAAGAGTAGACCCTAAATGGTGGTTTTTTCCACATAAAGGTATGTTCAGGTCAATCTGGGCGCAAGTGAGTCGTGTCTATGGGCGCAAGTGAGATCAGAGCGTGAAACGTGTCAAAGCACAGAACAAACTTTCCGATTCCTCCAGACCTCCAGGACCATGCACAAGAATTGCTTGCTCTCTTGGAGAGCGAACCAGGTGGTCGTCGGTTGTCCTTGAGAGACCCTGATAGACCCTGTAGACTGATTTCGGAGATTCAATGGGAATATCGGAATAGAAATGCGAATATGACATGAGTCATATGAGATTGATGGGAAGCATGGAGGTTATATATAACTAAGAATACTGGTGTGCCCATGAATTCAAATTCTTTAGCTGGCCGGTGGGATTGGGAAGGAGCTAAGGAGCTATGGGTGTCTTCATATTCCCCATCAACAATGGGGAGCCAGGGAGCTATCAAGAATTTCAGAAGCACATGATAGTTCGAAAATCAGCTTCCTGATCAAAATTACCATGATTGGGGTATACGGTATACCTTCTTTTTGAACAACTCCAAATTCTTTGGTAAACAGAACTTCGCTCGTTCATACTTCCCATCCCAGATCTCCGGGACTTTGAGGATTTCTCCGTTGAACTGTTGAAGTCACTGGGATTTTCACGATGATTTTCGGCTCAGGTGTCGCTGATGGAGAAGGGCCATAGGTATCCATAGGTTTTATCCAATAGCACCGGAGGATGGGCCCCCAATTTCCGTTGGAACATCTTTTAAAGTGTTTGAACGGCACAAATTCTGACCATGGGACGAATCTGGGTACACTTTTCAAAGAACACACACCGTTTTAGTGGAAACAACCAATAGTAAAACCCTAAATTGCCGCGCAAAGAATGCACCAAGACTTTTGCAGTGGCTCAGAAAGTTGATGTTTGAAAAGAGTGGGTATTGAACCATGTGGTTTCACAGAGCTCAACATCTGACAAGTGCTCAAGCCACGTTACAAGCGACACGCGAGCAGCTTGGCGTTATTTTCAGGGAGCTGACATCACCGTGATGACTATCATCAGGACAGCCGAGTTTGCGGCGGATGGTCATCCTTCGGGGGTTTTATATACCAATGATGTTTGGATTCCCATTGGATGGATGACCAACATCCCATATACCACATCTACCCATGTTTTGACCATGACTCACATGGGCATTGCAGATTTGACCCAATTTGTTCAGTTTGGGATGTGACACCAGCCAATTCTGTTGGGAATAATTTGGAGCGGTGGTTCTTGGACATCAGTTTTAAGCTGTGGCGCGATTGACACTCGGCAGAGTAACCGGACATTCAAGCTGGAGCCTTTCCAGATGGCGTTCCACCAGAATTTCTTTGGCACATTGGCCATTTGTGACTTGAAGAGGATTTCAATCTTTGTGATGCGGTTGTCCCAAGTTCTCCCCATGTGTGGTGCCTAACTGGAAGAAGTAGTCGAGGGCAATATGGTTGGGGGCAATCTGAGGGGAATCTATACCAAAATTGATATGCCTGGGACTGCGTACGAAATCTGAGGGTCACATGGCCAGTTTTTAGACATACCCACACACAATCTGTGGCCGAAACATGCCAAAACATGCCAAAACTCATTTGATCGGCTATAGCCATGTTTTCTATTTAAAAATTTTCTCAGTTGACACCACACCGCCACACCTTCCTTTTGATAACTTCGTCTCCCCGGATTTGCGACGGGAACTTGGTCCATGACAAAGATTTGGTGCCACAAACATCATCGATAGACTCGTCCTGAGACAAGAAACTGTAGCTATCCGAAGCTATCCACCCTAGTCATGATAGTCTTGGAAGTTGTAACATGTTGTAACCCCAGCTACATTGGGATATGCGTGTTTGATAGTGTTTATACAGCACCTTTGGTTTTTATTCAAGTGCAACAGGGCTGAAATGGAGGTAGCGTGCCATGCGGCCGGCCCACACCAAGTTGCGGCGGCCAGGACTTCGACATGTTCCCTGCAGAAGAAGCCGCATGGGAAGCCGGACAGGCAGTGCATTGCGCACTGCTCCAATGGGCTGCTTGGCGGACTTGGAAATCTTTGGCGGGTCCCAAAGTTATTTTGGGCAAATATCTTTGGCATATTTTTTGCATGGAGATAGGGATTCGGGCTTTAAGAACATGTTCAAAGGGCTTGCACACTTGGATGTTTCAGATGACTCGATATGATGCTCGACAGGCTTGGTAACCAATGGTAACCAGTTGCTGAGTCTATGCTGCGTACCACACACCGCGGACCTTTGCATTCCTACGCAAACTGCTTGTTGATGGATGGAAAAAGTGGGTGATGATATTCCCATTTTCACCGATAAAACAGCTGATTCCAGAAACATGCTTCCTAAAGGGACATCGTTGGTGGAAGTTGGTCATTGTTTAATCAATCACTTCCACTTGTTCACCACTCTCACGGAGACCCTGGTTGAGTATTGGATCTATTTCATTTTACACTCCTACTAGGGGTTCTTTATGATGAATGTGGTCAGAATCCTGCTGATAGAGGTTTACATCCCCATGGTATGATGGGAGGACAACCCACAAGATGGAAAAAACATGGCTTCAGCATGCTTCAGCATTCTGAAAATCGCTTAAGGCTTAATCCCTCCAACATCCTCAACGTTGGTCAACAGATTCAGATCCACAGTCCCCGTGGGGATTTTTTCTCCCAGGTTTCGTTGTCCTCGGGCCGTCCAGAGCCTCGGATGCTGGTGTTAAACCTATGGCTTTGTCACTGGGTTAACCCCCCAACATTTGTCATTTTTCATAGGGAAAATGATGGGAAAATGATGGTGGATTCAGGGGTACCATGTTGTCAGACACAGCCACAAGCATAGGGATGTTCCAGTAACTCAGAGTGGTGCAATAAAATGAATATGGACTTGGGAATTAGTTGTCCCTAAATGACATCTCTCCGAAGCAAGCTGGCTGTCCAGATGAGTTTCACTGTTTGGAATCACAAGTTGACATTCAGAGTTTTCTTTTGATGGTAGCCATCCAACCATATTAAAGACATATTAACATTCAAAGACCAACGTTTTTTTTAATGTGTGCGCCGCTGTGCGCCTTCAAACATCCATAATTTCGGTGGATCTGGAATCTCCGAGTCTCTCAGGACCTCTTTCTCTACGAGACACAAGGCTTGTCCGGTCCCCTACTGTGAGAGGCATTTGAAGTTTGGAGATGATGCGTTGAAGGTCTACCAGCATCCCAAGGGTTTTGGCAAGATCTTAGTTGCCAGGTTTAATCTGCCAAAGGGATATCGAATGGTCTACCATGGTTTGCGGCAAACCACTGGACACCCGTGCTGTGAAAATTAACATTTTTCTTGTGAATCCATGGGACCCATGGGACTTGGGATTTTTTCTGGGATGATGGGGTTCGTATGAAACCACATCAACATATTCTATATAATATAATATTATAATATGATATAATATAGATAATATTATATATAATATAGTATAATATTTGATTTGATATATAACATAATATAATATAAAATACAATAATAATACATAATACAATATATATATATATATATGATATAACATATAACATAATAGTATAACATAATATATTATATATAATTTATAATATATAATATATGATATATAATATAAAATATAAAATATATAATATAATAATATAATAATATAGTACTATAATAATATTATAATATAATATATATAATATATAATATATAATCTATAATATATAGTATTTAATATAAAATATATAACAAATAATATATAACATATAATATATATAATATATAATATATGATATATGATATATGATATATGATATATAATACACACACACACGTATATATATATATATATATCAAAATATACGCGACATGTAAGAGAACATCATTGGTACCTCTAACACATCCCTCATTCGGCCTCAGGAACTGATCCCCACCTGGATCCCGATGAAGATCGAACCTTGTGGTTCTACCCTGCGCCCGGCTTTGAAGTGAACGGCTATCTGGATCCGTCGCCATGTCCGGGTTCCGTGCTGCAGTTTGCCGCCAACGGAGGGCCACAAGAGGTGGCGAACATTCGGCAGAACGATCGGAGTTTCGGGCATCGCAATGGCAGCTATGGAGGGATGGAGTAGCTTGGGAAAGTCTGAGAAAATGAAGGTAGCTTCAAATGTCTTTGAAATGAACTGAAACGGAAGATTTCATCCAGGTATTAAAAATATATTCAGATATTCCACCAAAGTTTGGTAATCTGGACTCTGGAAAGTGATTTTCCAAACATCTTTGCTGAAACCTCAAGAATCCCAGGTTTTTGAAAATGACCCAGGTATGAAGCCTCGATGTCCATCCCTGCTGGGACGCAACTGGTGCACAACTATGGCTCTGAGTGGTGGAAAGATCGGCCCGAACTCAAACGCAGCAATGTGGGAACGGATTCTTGAAACGGGGGGTTCTTAGAGTTCTTAGACCCGAGTACTGACCATTGGTGAAACGTTTTAGTAAAAGTCCCAAGTAAAATATGGGGATATGCAACTTCTGTGACCACCACGTATGGGTTCACAGGTGGCTTTTTTTGGGGCTGAAGGATGCTGAGTTGGGTTGTTGCACACCAATTTGGCCCATTTCTTCACATGTCCTCAACTGTCCCCCAAAAAGACTTGGGTAACTTGGATGGATCGTTCAATGGATGGCGGCTTGGAGATGCTCTGCCGCAGTCATCAGGTGGACCCAGTTTTGTACTGACTGAGGTTATGCTTGAGCTGCTATAGTTTGATATAATTTGTACCAGGATGCTAGTTGCACTGATGCTCCACATTTTCCACGACCCCCCAATGCCCGGTAACGTGACTTCCAAGTGGGATACACCCCACCTGGCCGGATAGCAATTGGGAACCCCCGGACCGAGGATTGATTCCCAGCGCCGAAACGAAAGGTCAGGAAAATGGGCAAAGAGACTCAGCGCTGACATCCCATTTTGCTGGAAAAGCCCTTGATCTCAGCGATCAAGAAATGGTTCTTATCCCAAAGTTGACCCATCTTGAGGGGTATCCAAGGTTATGAGCTATGTTTTGCTGTGTTTTGCTTGCGGATAGGCCCTGTTGTGGGCACAAGCCGCTGTGGGTACCTGTGTCACAGGCCGCAGCGTAAAAAATTAGAACCTCTGACCTCTTGAGCTTCGCTAGCGCTGGTCTCCTGTTTGAAGAGACCAGTATGGGCCCTGCAGTCAGCAAGTCCCCATCTACTAGGTGAATATTTTCTTTTCAATATCTGAAGTAGGGTTAGTTTCTGGTAGTCGAGGAAAATCATTTTCCTGTACCCTCCGGTAATTTGTAGGTGGTTACATCTTTATATATATATATATTTATAGAGATCAGGGTTATACATAAGGGCCCCATATCCCAACATATAGGGGTGCATCCCCGCCCGCAGGGGCGTAAAAAAAAAAACGATCCCTGGCAGCAGGGCCCACGCGCATGGCGATGCTGCCTTTGGACCGCCCGTTGGGTGAAGAAATGCTGCGCGTGGGTGGGTAGATTCTTTGGAACCTTGGTTGGATGTGTGTTGGGGTTACAGAAACTGATAGAAACTGGTTTGACTAAACGGGTTCAGCAAACTGATCCATGAACTCGGAATCTCGCCCTGAACCAATATGAACCAACCGCAAAAACACATCCGCTTCCCCTCCAACTTGGATGTGCATCCTAGTACGGAGTTCATCATCATGGTGGTAATGCAGATATAAGTATGCAGCATATATATATATACACATAACTATGGAACTACAGACATAGATTACTGTAGATGAACTGAGATGAGATTACTGTAGACTTAGATAATATATATATATATGGATGGATGGAGCGATGGAGAGATGGAGAGATGGAGAGATGGATGGGGAGATATAGATATAGAGATATAGGTATAGATATAGAGATAGAGATAGAGATATAGATAGATATAAATAGATTAGATTAGATTAGTTTAGATTAGATAAGATAGATAGATAAGATAAGATAAGATAAGATAAGATTAGATTAGATGATAGATAGATAGATGGATGGATGGATGGATAGATAGATAAGATAAGATAAGATTAGACTAGTTTAGATTAGAGTAGATTAGATGATAGATAGATAGATAGATAGATAGACAGACAGACAGATAGATAGATAGATAGATAGATGGATTGATGGATGGATGGATGGATAGATAGATAGATAGATAGGTAGATAGATGCATAGACAGATAGATAGATAGACAGATAGATAGATAGATAGACAGACAGATAGATGGATAGACAGACAGACAGATAGATAGATAGATAGATAGACAGATAGAAAGATAGACAGACAGACAGACAGATAGATAGATAGATGGTACATCCTCAGTTCCACGCGGCTCACCGGCCACCCACAGCAATCCCCAAGAAGGGTGGTAAATTATTATTCCCCTTCAAAATCCCCAGGGAGTTAACAGACGCAACTTAGACCCCAACCACGCTGCTGTCAAGTAAAAAGGATGACTATTAACAAATAACCCCCAATAAATCCAATTATACAGATCCCAGTAAACCAGATGGAATCCCCATCAAATGCCTATCAAGCCCCATTAAGTCCCATTAAATCACCATTCGA